TGGATGGATGGATGGATGGATGGATGGATGGATGGATGGATGGATATTTTATTGTCCCCAAGGGGAAATTTGTCTTTGACATTGTGCGCTAACAAAGGTTCTTCCACAATTACATACACTACAACCAATAAAATCATGTGAACCCCATAATAAAATATAAAACACCTATTAATAAAATCACACAATTAAATAAAAACACATAATTCAATAAAAACAATAATATGTATCTTACAACTTCCTGTTCGTTCATAACCTGTTTAGATGTTCTTCAATGACAAAGATGGGCTAAAGATGTAGTACAGAGAAAAAGAAGACCATCAGGCTGGTCTATTTCTTTTTTTTTGTGTGATAATTACACAAGGGGGGCAGTACGGTGGCATAGTTAGAAGAGCTGCCACTTCTTAATCAGCTTTATTGTCATTGCACCGAAACACAAGGAAATTACATTTCAGTACAGCCCGTCCGAGAGATAAATAACAAACAGACATGCGGAGACGGCGGTGACATTTATGCATGAGGAGGTCGACGAGGGCAGTGAGTTGTCCATGGACACTGCCAGACATGTCCATAGTCCTGATAAAGATGGTGCAGTGTCTATCAGCCGGCTCAACTCTGACACAGATCCACAGATGTCCTCAGGAGGGGAGCGATGGGGGTGGGTGGGAGCGAAGCTTCTTGTTCACATAAACACCCACGAGAAGTTTGAGATAGCTGGCCAATTCAAGGCCGAATGGGGAAGCCAATTTCAGATTTGGCTATTCGGCCATTCTCCAAGTGGCCTGCGATTCTCAGAAATCACGTCCAGCTTACGACTCAGCTCACACAGCATCTGCATCTGAGAGCTCACCGCTCGGTACATTCCTTCATACAAGGCAGGCGCCTTACAGTTGCCAGAACCGCTGCCGCCATCTTCTGAATTTGTCGATATGTCAGATATCCGCCAACTCCAAAAGCAGCAAGCCAATCATAAATCATAAATCCAATTATGTACACGTCTTCTACATCCTCAAAGGATAATACAGAGACACAACATCTTCCATTGGTTCCAGGAATCCATAGTGTATCCAGCTGTGAGTGTCCCTTCAGGGCATGAGGGCTCTCCTTCACCTTGTCTTCTCATCGAGAAAATTTTATCAATTGCGTTGAGAGACCAGCTGACCAGATCCATAATTTACAATCTGGAGGATATTTAGTGAGAGACTCTGATAGGAACCACAAGACAAAGAGCAAAGCAGGAGGGAAAACGTCCATCCTCATCGAGAGCAAGCAGGAAGTCAGCGAGCAGGTCGCCAGTTCAAATCCCGGCCAGGGGCATTTCTGGGTGGAGTTTGCATGTTCTCTCCGTGCATGCGTGTGTTTTCTCCAGGTACTCTGGTTTTCTCCCACAGATCAAACACATGCATGTTAGGTTGACTGGTAACTCTAAATTGACCCTAGGTGTGAGTGAGAGAGTGAACAGGCACGTCTCCTTGTGTCCCTGTGATGGACTTGCAACCTGTCCAGGGTGTCCCCCGCCTCTCGCACAGTGATTCTGGATATGGGCACCGTGACCCCCGTGATTCGAAAAGGAAGAAGCAAGTAAAAATAACAGATGGATGAATGGATGATCAAGTACAATATAGTATTTTTACCTGCCATTCTGGTCTGCAAAGGGATATGACCACCCTAACGAGGTGAAGCAGTGGGGACCTTGCATCAAGGTAAGCCCTGAAATAACAAAGCAGTAACCAGACCCCATGAGGCCAACGATAGCTGCCAGCACTGACCCACACATCTGAAAAGGAACACACAAACAGAGAATATTGGAGAAAACAAGAACATGTTAGGGCAGTAATGTGTGAACTTTTGAACAATTTTGTGTCAATGAATGAATGTGAACTGTTTCATTTATGCAAGTTGTGCTCAAAACAAAGACGCAGCTGCCACACACACACACACACACACACACACCATCACACACACACACAAGTGCAGCTGGGCATGTGGCTGGAATGATATGGGTCTAGCTTACATTTTATTTAACAAAGAGACCCTTGTTAATTAATCCTAGCTGGATTAGCACTCTGCCTCAGAAGGACACAGTTTTGCTTTAAATGTTTTTCTGAAAGTGATGAGAATTAAATAAATACAATCACAATAGCACTACAAGAAAATGTTTAGACTGTTTTTTTTTTTTCATTTTAAAATAGAAAATGAGCAACAAAAATGATTTAAAATTGGAGCGTGTGTGTTTGCACAAGAATCGGCTGGATGTTTGTTTATTTCCATTTTTTTTCTGCAAAAAGTTTCTTCTGCATGGTTTGAGTATTGTTTAGGGTATAAAAGTCCCTCACCATCAAGCTCTCATTCCAGCAGCAGCTGCATTTCCCCAGCGTGATGAAAGCAACAGCTGGAACCAGCATCTGGAAAGAGAGAAAACATGATTTCACTGCAGTTTCTGGACAACACCAATAAAATGTTCTTTGATTTGTTTTTAAATTAAGGATGTTTTGAAGTCACCTTTATTTCCAACCACGTTGCACCAAAACAATGATCTTTTACTTGTTAAGCAACATAAATCACAAGTTTGGTGCAAAAGTTTTTGAAGTATTTCACAAAAATGTCTCCTTTTATTCTTATAGATTTCTAAGCTACGTTAAGAATGATACCAAAAAGGTCCCTACCTTTGGTGGGTTTTGTTTGTTTGTTTTTGCTTAGTCCCAAAATCATAATTATTATTATTTTATTCTTTTGACCTGTTTCTTTGCTTTTGTGCACGCTATTAAAACAGTTGAAACAAACTTGGTTTACACCCAATATAATGGCAATACAACTTGCAGTGAAACTTATTTTGATCTGTAAACTGATCAAAAGTAATTAACCTATTTATTAGGTACATCTGTTTCTAAATCTTTGTACATGTTAAAGTTTATTGCAGGTGAACAGAAAAAAGCTAAGTTTAAAAGACATTGACACTCCCAAAGATAAACACAGCAAGAAATATATTTTGCAACCCTATATTCACTTAAGCACAGAAAAATAAAAACTGTGCACCTGATTAAACCATAATTTTTACCCTTCTCATTTTCCTCTATTTTTTTCCTTTCATCCTATTTTCTGTGTTGTCTGTCCTGCAGATAATAAATCACATCCTGACAGAAGAAAGGAAGTTCCCAAGGTTTTTAGTTGAAAAAAAACAACAACATGCGTTTAGTCAGATCCACATCCTGGATGTCCCCAGAAGCAGAGGTTAAAGAGCATGACAACATGGAGGAAAGAACTCAGCAAGAAAAGAAAAAGGCAAAAGGAGGGAGGAAACATGAAGGAGAGGATGGGAAGGAGCTGAAGACAGATTTGTCTCAAAGGAGTTCACTTTGCCCTTTGACTCTTTGCTATTCGATTTCCTCACAGAAAGGACAAAACAAAAAAGAAAAAAGTAAGAGACTATGCATTTTCAGAACCATTTCAATTATTTTAAAATATATATATATGTACGCCAAGTACAAATATGTATCATGACTTATTTGCTACCAAAAGGTAAAGAAGAATATATTTCTAGTAAAAGAATAATATATAAGCCATCCTTACAGACCCCATTTTCTAATAAATTTGCTTACTTAAATTATGATTTTATTTTTGAAAGTGTGCTGTTTTAACCATATTGAAATACTGCCAGAAAATATTATTTATAATTTAATAAATTTTCATTTGGCATTAGGCCTGTAGTTAAAATGTTAGTCAAATGCCTCAAATCCTTCCAGATGAGTCACCATGTTCAATATTTAAAAGTTTTGTCTTTGTTGAACAAGAACTCTTTTGCTTATTGCTTTTTCTTTTATTTATTGCAAACACAGTCTGTCCTCTGTTACTCCGTAATAGGCCAAGTCAAAGAGTAACTTCTTTCTGTTTAGAGGGTAAATCCATCGGATCAGCAGTGTGCAGGACAGACAGATTAACTGTGGATTCACAAAAACACTCCTGTTCTCAATGAACTACAGTCACTTAGACAGACTGGTGTTAAAGGGGATACAGTTTAGACTAAGACATGTTTGGATGTAAAATCATGTTTGCGTTCAACTCTGAAAGACACATTTTACAGCTGCAGCTCTGCTAACTATGGCAGGAAGGGAGGTGACGCCTAAGTTCAGTGACTGCTGAGGCTGTTTGAAGGAACTCAGATGCAGTATGTCGAGTTTACAAGTCAAATGGCTGACGTCCTTTCAAAATACCGAGTTTTATTTTTAATGTGGCTCCAGAAAGGAAGCGAATCTTAATGCGTTTTTGATGCTGGAGCTCAGTTTTTATTGTAGCGTTTTAATCTTCTCCACGATTATTTACCGTTTGAAGAGAAGACGCAACCATCACCCTTTTACACATCCACTTTACCCACTTTGATCAATATTTGCCAGATTTTAAACTTTCAAGGAAATAAGGCCCCATTATTAAGAATATGAAAAGTTGTTTTCAGTAACCGGTTGTTCTAAACTTTAAGCACTTGAAACATAAAAAAATAAATCTTCAGATATATAAAAGAAAATCTTAGTTGTGATGTTGCTGCTTTTAGAAATCTCTTCAAAACTTGGTTTCATCGAGCGCAAAGTATAACTCTGCAGTGTAATACAGCTAATACTTTTTTTTTTACTCACCAGCAGTCCTCCACCTCCAAGTCCACCAAAATACAAGATGTAGCTCGCCAGGCGGCCCTGCTGGATGTAGGTGATTTCTCCCATTGGAAACAGCAGCAGCAGGTTGGCAGTGATACAGCAGAGTGCCAGAGGCAGCAGAGCCAGGCCCAAGGACCGGGCAAAGCCCACAGAATAACACATCGCTCACAGAATAACTAAATCACAACCACAAGGAACAAACAACCGAGCTGGAATGAGCTGACGAAGACAGAGAGAAGGGAAGGGTCCGAACAGCTGGGGAGGCAGGAAACAAAAAATGTCTAGAGCCTGCTGTGTGTGTGCTGGGTCTAAGTGTGTGACCGTTTGAGTTGGGGGGTTTATCCATGACACAACACGCTTGAGGAAACATACACTCACAGGAAGCAAGGGGGGTGATGAATACTTTTAGAGCTCAACGACAAATTAAAAAAACATCCCACAAGAGGGAGAGTGTGTGTTTTCATTCTCCAGATGTTACACAAAGAAGCTCAACACACTCTTAAAAAGGGATTTCCCTCTGAGTGAGTCTGGCCTAAGAGCTGGTCAACATATTTACCTCTTTTTCATTATAATTCCTAAAACCCTCCAGGCTTCATGTTATATACAAACGTTCTTATCATTATATTACATTTAGACCTGGGGTCTTTCTGTGTGCAGTTTGCATGTTCTCCTTGTGTTGGTGTGGGTTTTCTGTGGGTACTCCAGTTTCCTCCCAGTCCAGAAACTTACATGCTAGATCCAGGCCTCACATGCAAAAGAGATCTGTGATCTCAGTTAGATTCGCCTGGTTAAATAAAGGTTACCAGTAATAATAATAATAAACTGTTGACTTTTTGTTTGAAGGAACCCAGTATTATTATTTTTTAATTATAAATCATTAAATTTATTATTTAATAATAATAAGCATGTCATTAGTTTAGTTGCATATTAGAAATAGTTGTCCTTCAACAAGGTTTGCCAAAGTGGTGCAGTTACCTTCACCTTGAAGTTGGGTAAAAAAATCCCAAATTGCCTCTCAATGTTTTTTTCTCATACTGTTGTTGTTGTACTAATGTTACTTAAAAAAAAATAAAAAATAAAAATTATTTAACATTAGAACATCCCGTCTTGTGCTTTCAGCTGTTCCCTCTCTGCAGGAGGAACCACAACAAGCACATTTGCATGAAAGATTTGGCAAATGCATACCCGTCCTGACACAACCTGGGCTCCAACCTGTAACCTTATGATTACAACACTGCAGTTCCTACTAAAAAGTTTAAAAATAAATAAGATCAGTATGCACATTTATACGTTCTCTTTGTTTGCAGAGCAGTCAGACACAACAAAACTTCCAAGGATGTGTCAGAAAATAACAGAGACCGTGTGCGTACTCTGCGTTTTTTTTAGAAAACCAACACATTTGGAGCTGTTTTATGATCAAGCTGGAAGGTAGCACATCTAAATAAGCTGCATCATAAATAACATCTAACAAGTTGAGCTGATCAGGGTAGGTTATGTAAAGTAGGAAATGTGTTGTGCGCTGCGACAGGACACATGGGCCTTTATGAGAGAAAATGGGTCGTACCAGGGTCAGTGTGGAGCAGTAAGGAGATTAAAACTGTAACAAAGTCCAACATCAAAAGCTTTTGTGTTGGAGTGGACAGTGTGTGCGCAGAGAGTTACATGGTGCATGAGGTTGACAAACTGTTTACCAACTCACCTGTGTTTTATCACATTGCTGTATCTCCTCTGTGCAATTTTGTATGTGATCCGAGTATTTGTGACAAATAAAACTGACAAAATTACTAATAAAAAACGCAAACTTCCCCCAGCTTGCTTGGAACATGGAAAATAAACGATCTACAGTTGAAGTTTAATGTGACTACAGTGCGTGAGTTTGGTCAATGACCACAGGGATGATTGTACAGATTTTTGAAGGTGATGCTTCTAGAACAATCATATTAATCCACTGATTTCTGTGTCTTTTAATACTATAGTAAATGTACTGAATAATAACTGCTGTTTGTTCGTACTTTTTGTACAAAATGACCAATTTTTACCAATTTTCTAACCATGAAGAGCCAAAGTTCTTACCAAGAATAGCTTTAAATAGTCCGACTCAATCCACGCTTCATTAATTATTTCTATCAAACTGCTTTAGACAAACTACAAACTCAAATTTTCATTCGTTTCATTTTTCCATCGAGTCCATTTGCAATTTTATGGATTGAAACTTGATGCAGTTTGGGAAAATTTGGAGATTAGAAAGCAGGATTTAAACCACCAAGTTACAATTTCATTTCACATTATAAACATGTGCAATACAATTTTAAACAGAAAAGGAATACATTATGCGGATGTATTAAAATGTATTTATTTTACAAGCAAAAGATTTTCATAAAGATAAAAACTGACATCACATCATACTATCAAAAATTACTTTTTGAAAAAAAAAAGAAATTGGAACATGCAAAAACTAAATCAGTATTATTTGCTTATATGGATTTAAGCACAGGTAAGAAAAATATTATTTTAGTCTAAAAACATTTGAACACAAAAGATTCGTTTTACTGTTTCCCCTAATATTCACCTGCAACAATGTAATTAACTTGGTATATGGTTCTGCTTCTGTATGACACAAATTACATCAATTAAATGTAAATATACAACAGAAATCAACACCAAAAGAATGAAATACAGCCCTTCAAGAAAAGTACAATCTCGCTATAAAGACCCAGGAATCTATGATAATCCTGAGTAATTTTCAAATATCAATTAAAAAATAATCTATTTTGCTGCATCATAAAGCTAAAAAAAGAAAACGTATGCTTTGGAAAAAAAAAAAAAAAAGATAGGTGCATGCATTTGTTGTAAAATAGTTTGAAAACTGAGTTACTGAATCATAAAGTTAGTAACCCTGAGCACATCCGTCTGCTCTGGGGTCCGATCCCGCCCACAAGACCCTGGATGGAGAGCCGCCTTGAGTGTTGAATAAATTCCACCAGTCTCCCACCGTGATAATCTGTCCCCGCCCAAACTGGGACCGCCCAGGTCCTGTGTGTATAAATAAAAGGTACATTTTAAAAAATGACCCAATAAAGCTAATTTGTGCCATTTTGATTCAAACAGAGACATTTATGTCTTTATTTTACTACGGTGATGTGCTGTAAATAAGTGAACACTGCCTCAGTCATCACTGGGAGCTGTACACTAAATCTGACTGGTCTTCTCTAAATGAACACAGATTCCATCTCTTTAGCATGTATACATTGTGTGATGTGGAATCAAATGTGTTAAAGTTACTGTTGGAAAAGGTTTGAACACTTTATGCACTATGGATGCAAGCCACAAAATAAGTACTTCTATAAACACAAAGTCCTCGAACGGCAGTTTGGGAGAAAGCAAAGGACGAATGTAATCAGCATGAATCAGATGAAAGGAGACTGAACAGATGATGTGTGTGACACGCCCAGGGTGTTAACACTTTTCAGGAAAGCAGTAAAACTCTTGTGTTTTAGTTTGAGAAAGGAGGAACAAACACAAACATGCTGTTTGCAAAAGGAAGTACCAGTAGGTTTTATGGAAACTATGCTCTAATATCGCTAATATCAGACAATGTGCGGTTTTAGCAATGACACTGTTTGTTGAAGGACTGTACTAGACTGTACCTCAATATAACAATTAATGTGACACATTAACTTTTTAGACAGTTACATTTGCCTTGTACGCATGATAAAACTTTGAGTGAAAAAACAGTGCAAAATGTTTCTCCTGAATTCCTTTTTTTATTAGCCATGAAAAACAGTTCATTATACACAGAAGAATCTACCTGTGACTGGCCAGGTGACTGTGTGGCCCCGTCTTCTCAGCTCCACAGCTACCTCCTGGTCAATGCCCTCCTCTAAATTAACCAGCCACTCATCAGCTGCAGGGATAAAACACTATTTAAAACAGGATCATTTTTTTCCCAATCATTATGAAGAATCTTCATTTTTCTAAAGAAAGTACAAAACAAGACCACGAAATAGTTAATCTAACCAATATACTGTACAGTAGTCCCTCGTTTATCACAGGGGATCCGTACCCTGTAGCCCCTCAATAAGTGAAAAACCGCAAAATAGGAATAGTAGTACAAATAGTAAGAAGTAGTTTATATTCAATTCAATTCAGAAATACTTTATTAATCCCAAAGGGAAATTATTTGTTGTTGTAACTCGTTATCCTCATTTCATTAAGAGATGTTATAGATACTGATGGATGTAGACAGGAAGGATCTCTTGTAAAGGTCCATCCCACAGTGGATCCTAAGAAACTGGCTGCAGATGCCGTCCGATCCGTCCACCCAGACTCGGCTGGCCTCTCGGTTCCCCCAGGCTGTAGGACCGCCTGAATGCCGGGCAGAACTCCTCCCAGAGTGATGGCCACTCCTCCCAGCAGTCTGCCGAGCTCCTCATTGCTGCGGACAGCCAACTGTAGGTGCTGAGGGACGATCCTGTCCTTCCGCTGCCGTGAGCCGTGTTTCCTGCTAGTTCCAAGATCTCAGTGGTCCGGCACTCGAGCACAGCTGGCAGGTAGATGAGAATGCATCCACAGAACATCCTTTTCAACTCATTAGAGAGTTGGGGCCATAGTTGAGATATTATTTGAGCTTTTGAGATGTTAATCAGCTGCTGTTGTTGTAAAAAACTGCCTTGTTGCCATGGTTACGCATCATAACAAATGTCCAAAACCGAAAAAGTCTCAGTAAAAATACTTCCAGCTGCACAGCATCTGATACCAGAGGAAACAATCATCCAAAAAATGTGATTTACATCCAGAAAAAGAGGAATTAAAGTTTCCAAAAGCAAAATCTCAGAATTAAAGTAACAGAGCTGCTCCAACATGCAGCCACCTTGAGCGGCGCAATTCTAGAACAAGCTGCAGGACGAAGCTTATCCTGCAGTATGGGCTGCACAAAGGTGCAGCAGGTGCTAAATAATTTTCAATGATTTATTTTAAATAAAAATTCAATGCCGATCGTGCGGCTCATCCATCAATCAGCCATTATGTGAAGAGTCCAATCTTATTTTGAAAAACCGCTATAAAGAGTCTGCGATAAACAAACCGCGAAGTAGCGAGGGACTACTGTACTGTAAGGAAATATAGTTTAGTTTCAATAAGTCAAAGAAACATATTTGGCATTTAAATTTTGTTTTGTAAATGAAAACAGGTAATCTACATATGCACATAAATTTATAGGCTGATAACTTTATATCTTGCTAAAAGGGAAGTTAACACTTTGAGCCAAACATTTTATTTGTGTGTCTATTAAAAAAAAGTCCTCAGTGGAAAATTTAATTCTAAAACCCATATCATTTAATTACCATCAGTATATTGCAAAAAAAAAAGTTACACATAAATGTAGCTTACCAGTATTGACTGAAAACATTTTATTGGTACTTACCAAGGCATGCTCTTACACAAGTTTACCATTGAAACGTTTTTAAAACTAGTTAGATGTGTGTATTTTGGGATGTGTGTGACAGACGAACCTTTAGGATCATACTGCACAAAGACTCTTGGTGCATCTACAGCCTGCTGAGGATTCATCCCAAACTCCATCATGTTCAAGAGGACCTTAACACAAAAGCAAAGGCTACTTAGATGGGACACAAGACTGTCAGTTTAAGTACATTTATACCTATAAGTACATTTTTTTAATCCTAACCATAAAATTATCAACAACATCTAAAAGATAAACTGAAAATCTAGCAAATGCTTAATATGAACAGAAAATGAAAAAAAGGTTTGTGCATCATTCTGTCTGCATACCTGGATGTGTCCTTGTGGTTGCATGAAAGCCCCCATCACCCCAAAGGCAGCAAGCAGTCGTGGCTTTTGTGGTTTGGTAGAAGAGTCAGTCAGAAGTGCAGGTATTATAGTGTGATATGGCCTCTTTCCTCCGGCAACACAGTTAATGTGTTCACGGCACAAAGAAAAGTTGGCACCGCGATTCTGCAAGAGTGGGGAAAGAAGTTAGCAAATATTAACAACGATATATAACAATTTGTTTTGACCTTATTTATTACTCCTGTTTATTTTCTTCAATTTTAATGCTACAGTTGGAAAATGTTACATTTTTAAATAATAATGTTCATCACATACTAAAAATAACTTTAGAAACGTTGTAATAGCTTCAACAAGAAGCATATTCAATTCTAGCCCATAAAGTCTTGTTACAGTGCAAAACAGGATGCTAAAATAATACATTTGTAACTTTTCTGTTCATATTGTGTTTACAAAATAAGTGTTCAAGTATTCAAACAGTCCACGTTTATTTGAACTATTGTGGCTTTATTTTTCCAGGTCATCAGAAATTTTAGATTAGAAAAATCTAAGTTGTGACGCAGCATTTCCACATGTAGCATAACACCGTGGTTTTTTTAAATATACATACAAGAGTTACGGGAGGGAAACTTGACTTTTTTTTTTTTAAGTAACGTAATTTTTTTTTCCAACAAAAAATAAATTATATTTAATCTAACTCTAAATTTTACATTTATGGATTGTCCTGCTCCAGTTACATTGTTTTACATTTCTTTAATAAAGTTTTATTTTTGTTTTGAAGTCCTCATTTTTATTACAACAGGAAGAAGAATTATTATTATTTATTGCTATTTTTATTGTATAATTTTAATTAGGGATGAACAATATTGGATTTTTGGCCAATATCCGATATGCCGATACGTTAAAACTTATTTGGCCAATAACTGATACCAATACCGATATTTTTTCCCCTAGACCTACTTACAGAGACATAGCTCTGCTGTGGAATTAAAATACTACATTATTCTGCATGGTCTTTGTCAATTTGTCCTGCTAACAAACGTAAATGGCAACAAGGGGACTGAAAATGATGTAACACTTCAACTTGGATTATGTTTAATGTCATATTTATTCATATTTACTTTCTCTAACACAATAACAACACTCGAACAGTACAAATTTGTAAATGTTCACAAATCTAAACTCAACCTGTTCACAAGCGACAAGTGAAAAGTGCATTAATAGATATACTTGACAGTTTCTTAAATTAAAAATTAACTTAAAACAGAAGGCTTTTATATCTGTGAGTTTTTTTTTGATGGAATGGCCGATGCCCAATATTTAACTTAAGTGCTAATACGATACTGATACCATGTCGATGATATCATGCATCCTTAATTTTAATATTGCTTACGTTTTCAAAGACACCTCAAGTTTGAATGAAAAAAAGCAGAAAATTGGTACTACATGTGTACAAATAAAACCCATTTTCTTTGTGCGTGTCAGACCTGTAGTGAGAATCCACAGTCTTTGGGGACTAGACCGGTTCCAAAGCCCATATAGGTGCTGTTCACAAATGAACAAGCGTTGCCCTGGCTGTCAATCACACAGAAATAGACCGTGTCACTTCCTGTTGTCAAGCCAGGCTGCACACACTTCATGGCCCTGCAGACCCACACATACAAAGGGGTTTGATTAAAAAATATAACGTATCATGTGTGAAGCTAAGAAATTAGTGTTTTGTGCAAATAAAACAAACTAAATATGATCCATGCTTTTGCAGCAGCTGCTGCCAGAAATATTTAAGTAAGAATGAGGCGGCTTCTGTTCACAACACCTTTCCAGGCAGGCATTTATTTCATTTACAATAAGAAGTTTATTGCAGTGCAGTAAATCTGATCAGTAATTTCCTGTTTTCTAGTTTTCTCTCACTTGACTTGTTTAATGTGAGCATGTAAACATAGCAGTTGACGAGGCTTTGACGACAATGGCTACGAGATGTGAGACTTCAACAAATTATTAAGAAGGCGAGATTTATTGATGCATTTCTTTGATTCACATTGTTATTAAGTACATTTCAATTCAGCAAGTCATTTTTACTTGGTTAAAAAAAAAAAAACAGAAATGCCAGCAAGATTTAACACTTCAGAATGTGTTTCAGTTTCTGTGAATGTATAAATATGCATGATAAGGGATTTTAATGTTGTCTTGTACCTGGCTGATAAAGACTTAAAAGTTCAAAGTACACACTTCTGGCACATTGTTGCCAAAGTAGACAAGCACACCCAGTATATGTGAGAGGCGAGACTGAAAAAGATGAGCGTTAGGGTAAGGGGAAGCACAAGTCTACAGCCCTATCTAAAGTCAATAGAGAACAACTGGTACACAGTGGTACCAGCAGTCATACACAAACATGAACACACACCTGGTACCTGCAGTCATACACAAACATGAACACACACCTGGTACCTGCAGTCACACACAAACAT